TAGAATATCGAGCCTCTTTCATATAAAATAGGTGTTTCTGTACTTCTCTCTTCTATATGTCCCCCAAAGCTTCTTTGATCAGTCCTATCAGTGTCCTGGGTATCTATTATCCTTCTCTTCACCCTCTCTTCCTAAACCTGCAGCCCCAAAATGCAACAAAATAAGGTATGGGAGAAAAAACCCAGAATGAACAAAGATGGGGTTTTAATCAGGCAAGGTAGGGAAAAGATTATTTTTGTCCATAATAGTTATCGTTTAATCATATTTTATGCAAGTACCGTTTTTAGCACTTTGTGTTAGTCCATTTAAAGCTTGCATCAAGCCAGGCATTGTGCATATGCTTGTAAGCTCAGCACTCTGGGAGGCTGAAGCAGGAAGATTGCAAGTTTGAGCCTAGCCTGGGCAACCCAGTGGCTTAGTGAGACCCTGTCTCTTTTTAAAATTAAAAAAAAAAAAAAAAAAAAAAAGGCCGGGGATGTAGCTCAATGCAAAGGTCCTGGGATCCATCTGAAGTATCACCAAAAAAGCTTGCATTATCACTGCCAGACAGGTCATTTAACAAACAAGTTAACAAAGGCTCTGAGGGGTTAAGCAACTTTCCCAAGTGCACACATGGTGATGAGTGAAAAGGCAGAAGCTTGAACCTGCGTCTGTCTCACACCAAGCCCTTCTTCTTGAATATCTGATAATCTGATATGCCTGCCTACCAAATCATGTTGGACACAGGGCAGGTTGTCTAAAAGCCTAAGTGTCTTGTCTGATGGTTCCAGCTTCCTTGCTGGTCTTTCTCTCACCACCTGCCTGAATCCCCAATGCTCAGGGCATCCCTTGTTCCTTCACACCCATTAATTTGCCGTGTTCCATGCCAGTTATCAGAGCTGGAACAGGATATTTAGCCAAGAGAATCAGCAAGCAGAGAAGAATATGTTTTTCCCCTGGATGCCAACAAGATGACTAGGTAAATGTGGTTAAACCAGATTCCCAAAGGCCCTGCATATGAGTTACAGCTACTGAGGACCATGGATGAGGGAGGCTAATTTGGCAACAGGCCCACACATGAGGCCAAGGGTCTCACCCCTAGCTGTGCTCGAGAAGCACCAGCAGAGCTTCCTAGATATCCACATACCCCAGCGCTGCCTGCACTTCCTGCTCAATGGGTCTGGAGTGGCCACTGTGCACTGCGTTGTCCCAATGTTGCATAGGGGAACTGTTGCCCAGCCACAATTCGGAGTCATCAGGTTAATGATTTTAGGGGGTAATTTTTACTTTTTTTTTTTTCCAGTACCCGGAATCAAACTCAGGCCCTTGTGCTTGCCAGGCAGGCATGGTGCCGCTGAGCTACATCCCTGGCCCCTTAAGGAGGTAACTTTTTAAACAACAAATAGTATGAGAGAAATTGTAGGTGAACATTTATCTGTTTTTAAGTTAAGGAATTCTCTTCTACTTGAGCATAAACAGGAGGAACAAATCACTAGAGTTGACAACCACCACAATAAAAAAAAACTACCAAAAACTATCATAAAGAAAATGAAAAGGCAAATGATGAACTGGAAAAAATATGTGCTACATATTTAATCAAAAAATTAATTCCCTGAATAAAAAGTGCTTCAGTGCTACAAGGAAAAGATACATATTCTAGAAGAAAAACAGACAAAGTTCACATGTACCTATTTCATAAAAGTATGAGTTATGAATAAGTAGAAAAAAATTTTACTTCAATAATAAATAAAGTCAAATTCAAACAAAGTACCAGATCTATAAATGCTACCGCTCAGGGCTGGGGTTAAGGAAGAACACAGCCACTCTCATATGCTCTTGTGGGAACTGAAAATCAGCACAACTTTCTGGCAAGCAACCTGGCATTATGCTTCAAAGGCCTTTAAAATGTTCATTTTCTTTGATCCAATAATTCCTGTCACTTCTCTGAACTTGTGGAAAGAATGGCCTCTTCATACATAGACTAGTGCATAGGGATTCACTGCATCTTTAGTGACAGTGGAAAACTGGAAGTGATCTACATGTTCAATAATAAAGGATGGGTTAAATAAATTTCCTGTTTTCCTGAAAATAAGACCTAGATGGAAAATAATCAGCCTTGAAAACTAGAGATCAGAAATGCCAGCACCAATCAGCCCATACTCTGTAAGGCAGGTAAGGGAAGGATAGGCTGACTGGGGATGGCATTTCTGATCTCCAGTTTTTAAGGCTGCTTATTTTCCAGCTAGGTCTTACTTTTTGGGAAACAGTTGTAATGCATCCATATGACAGAGCAGCATACAGCAATTTAAAATAATTTTCTTACAGCATATTAAGTGAAAAAGCAAGTTTAAAATGTTAATATAAATGTATGCATTCACATGAAAGAAAAAGACCAGATGATACTTGGTGGGATTACATGTCAATAAAAATGTAATTATCCTCTTTACATCATTCTCAGTTTTTCAAACTTCCTCTCACAAAATTATTTTGTATCATCAGAAAAGCTGGCAATCCTTATTATCTTAAGGCTTGTTAAGGTGTCCTGGAGTGTCAAATGGAGAACAAAAACACCTTGGAGGCCGAGAAGTCACCTAGTCTTTCAGGCACGAGGCCAGGCAGACAAGCAGAGGGTGGTGCAAGTGGGCATTCAGAACACTTTCTGAACTGTCACTGTCTGCTATGGCAGACATCAGTCATAGGCAGTTACTTACACTGAAAGCTAAATAAAATATAAAAATTCATTTCCTTAATTGATCTAGCTACATTACAAGTGTTCCACATCCGTGGGTGCTCAGGGCTCCGGAATTGGACGGAGTGGGTTAGGAACATTTCCATCACTGCAGAAAGTTCCATGGGACAGCGCTAGCCTAAACACTGCCTCGGGCCTGACGGACCCAGCTGCTGGCTCTCTTCAGCCTCATCTCTTGGTACACCTGTTCTCATTCTTCACGCACCAGCCACAAGTCTGTAAGCCCCATGAGGACAGCGACTGTATATATAGCTCTCCAGTCTAGTGGGGTAGACGTATCACCCAGGTCACTACATACAGTGAAATGCGGAGGAGCTCACAGATGCACAGGTCACTGACAAAGCACAGAGCTCAGCCTGGTGCTGAAGGAAGACTTCCGGGGAGGGAGGTGGTACCCAAAGAGGAAATCTCAGGACCCTGTATATACAGAAGAGCACGACAGGGCTAAGGGCGTGGATGAGAAACAGCACACAGGAGGAATCAACAGCAGCTAGAGGTTTGTTCATTTTCACACAGTAAATGTCTGTGATGGGCCAGGCCTCTGTCGCTCTGGGGACAGCTGGGGTCCCTGTCCTCACCATCCTCACACTCAAATTAGAACGGCCGGAGCACCAAGGGTGGGGAGGGAATGCTAAGGACTGAAGATGGAAAAGGGCCCCATGAAGGGCCTCACCTTGTATTAAGGCTTTAGCAAATGAACCTTCTTTTCTGCCTCACTGGGGGTGCGGGGGTGAAGTCCCACGTCCTCATCACTCTCGTCCCCACCCCATCGCTGCTGCAGGCCATGGAGAGCTCCTCAAGGTCTCAGCTTCAGGAGACCCCTCCAGTGGCCAAGTGCGCTGTGGGTTTAGAAGTCTGGCTGGGGCCCGTCTGGGTCCTGAGGAAAGGGTTGGGTCCTAAAGAAATGTAGGGCCAACCAGAGGGACCAGGAAGGAGGAGGACGCACCCCAAGTTCCAGGCCGGCCGGCAGAGGGAGGGTGTGTCCGAGGCTGGGCCGCACAGTGGGGGAGCGCTGGCCGCTCAGGAGGGCGCCTGGTAAGGAGGGTAGGGGCCGGGAGGGGGCCCAGCTACCTCGGCCGGCAGAGGGAAGCGTCCGGCCAGAGCGGCCTAGGGGCGGGGTATTGAGGGAGTGGGCAGCGATGGGCGGGGCCGAGGCAGCAGGTGTGCGGCACCCAGGGCGCGAGCAAAGGCGGCAGAGGGAAGACTTCGGGGGCTTCTCCCCGACCTTGTCCTTGAGCCCTGAGGAGAACCGAGCAGGGCACGTTCTCCACGGCCCGAGACCCCGCGAGGCTGCGCGTGCTGGGCCTGGCCGCGCGCGGGTCCAGGCTTCGGGCGGCCGCTGCTGGGACCCCGGCCCCTTCCCCCCTGCGTCGCGGCCTCGCCAAGGGCGGGCCCCTCGGACCGCCACCCCCACGTGGCCCGGTCCTCGCTCCCGCCCCTCCCGGCCGCACCCCTCCCCGGCAGCGGTACCTGGGGCTCTCGAAGCTGCACCCCTTGCGCCGCAGCGCCGCCCTCTTCTGCCGCAGGAGCGCAGCGGCCGCCGCGCCGGGATCTGGCTCCATCGCCCCGGGAGGGGGCCGAGGGCTCGGGAGCACTCGGGTGGGCTCGGGCCTTGGCGGGGCTCGGCCAGTCGCTCGGCTCGCGAGCCGCAGCCCACGTCCCGCCCCGCGCCCCTCGGCCTGGCCTAGTCCCCGCCCCCTCTCCGCCCCTGTCCCGCCCCGAACTCCAACTCAGCTCGCCTCTCGCCCCCTCACCAGGCTCAGGTCCTGCCCAGACCCCTCCCCGAACCCACCCCTGCGGCCCCTACATCCCTAGGGCTTTCCCCACCCCGAATCCCAACCCGCCGGTCTCGCCGTTGCCCCAGCCTCAAGCCCCGCCCCATTCCACCCAAAGATCCAGCCACGCCCCTCCCGCGCTGGCCCGCCAGGGTCCGCCCTCCTCCTCTCCGCACCTCTGTGGAACCGGCAGACCCAAAACGCCAACCTCAACTTCAATTCTGTCCCGTCCATGGCCTCGCCCCACCAGCTCCTCATCCCTCAGCACAGACCCTGGCCCGGTCCACCTACCCCTCCACTACTGAGGGTCTGCTCGGCTCGGGCCGCCACACCGCGGCTCGGCTCCCTCAGCGCTGTGGACGGGCTTCGTGCCTCAGCCCCGCCCGACCCTTCCAACTGTAGCACCGCCTCCTTGCAGGGGGCGGGTCTTCCCAAGACCCGCCCACAGGCAGGGCTCCATCCCTGGAGCTCCGCACCTTTTCTCCCGGGCCGGGGGTGTGTAGACCCTTTCGTTCCCGGGGCCTTCTGCAGCCGCCCAAGCCGTCGCCCGGCCCACACCGCCTCTTTCTCCGCTCTCCTTGCGCCTGGACGAGGCCCATACTCCTAGCTGTACAGATGTGCCGCTGTGAATTCTGTGCTAGTTCAGGATCGCTCCATCCAGCAAGCAAAGGTAATGCTGTCTCCTGGTGGCTGTGGCGCCTCTTGTAGCGAGGCCGAGGGATTGGAGCTTTGCAGGCTACCAGTTGTGCGCTCAAGTTTTATCACTTTCCAACTTTGTGACAAATCCCCTCACTGTCTTCACTCCAGGCCAGAAGCATGTCTCAGAGGCTCGCAAACACTGCACAGTGGCTGGGGGCAGGGAGCCATCTGGGTAAAACCACAGGTCACTGTGCTACTCAGGTCATGAGAAGGAAGCCAGCTAGGGCCACCTAAGCAAGCAGGGCTTTGTCACAGCTGTGACAATGTGACCATGCTGGCCTGGAACTGGGATGGTAGAGTAAAGCCCAAGAGGTGTGCTTGCGGGGAGCCTGTGCCTAGAGAATCGACCACTGCAGCCCAGGAAGGCACTGGCCAGGAAACAGGCAGCCAGGGACAGAGGATCCCACTGTCAACGCGGACCTTGTCACTTCCGGGTACACACTCTCTCAGTGACTTTCAGGTGCCTTTGGAGAAGGCCTGGCCTTCCTTGCTGTTGCACGCTGAAGCAGAGAGAATGAAGGGGATGCCTGGAGATGAGACGCGGGGAGCCCAGATGAAAGCCAGATGTGGAGGACTCCGTTTCTTTCGGTCCCTCTTGAGATTCCTTTGGCTCTTATCCCCAGTTTGTACGAGACAACCCTTGTAAGACAGTCGCCCTTTTTCTCCTAAGTGAGCTGGAGTGTGTTTGTTTTTTGCTTGGCATCATGAATTCCCGCTAATATATCCTTTCAGACATAGATCCTGTGACCACCTCCCCCCCCCCCCCCCCCCCCCTTTACTCAGTGAGAGAGGATTGGCTGCTACTCCCCACCTGCATCCAGGTTGTTTCTGTCTCCCTGTCCCCCCATCTTGACCCCCCCCCCCAAGCCCCTGTGTTCTGCAATCTCTGCACTGACTCTCCAAGTGCTTCTAAGGCATCCCCAGGTCCCCCACCTCCCTCCCCTCAAGGGCTCTCCCTGTCTTTCCTGAGGGCGCCGCTCCTGTTATTGGAGCTCTGAGCACCCCATACCTCCTCCATGCCTGCATCTAGCCCAGCAAATGTTTGCCAGGTGAATGTTATGGCTTTAATAAATTGAGCAACACTCATTGGAAAACACATTTAATTTCAAAGTAAACAAAGATGTCTGTACATTAAAGTATTTAATTAGTGAAACAATTATTATCAGTGTAACAAGCTGAAAAATACATCAACTTGATACAAGACTGAGGTAACAAAATACTTCACCAAAAATCTAAAGAATCCCACAGAGGGCTGATGTTCAGTGGTTACAGAGGTGAGACAATTCACAAGTATTAGATAAAGTCCTTTACAAGTGCATGCAGGGTCTGCTGGAAAAAAGGACAGCCTGGGAGAATGAAACAGATTTAACAAGAAACCAACTAAAACGTAGAAATTGATTTTCCAACTTACGTGGAAGAATATATAAGAAATTGAAAACTACTCTCTACACAACATTTTGAATGCTTAGTGGAAAACGATGCATTTTGGCACGAAATTTATTAAGGATTATACCATAGTAATAAATTAATGAATATTATTTCATTACTGAATGGTCACAGTCGTTCAGAAATGGATAGGTTGATGGACAGATGATCTGTCGCATTGCTGCTATGAGCAGGGATACCTGGGCTGTCCACTGGTGTGGCCGCAGGCTCGGAGGTGAACTAACATCCACTGTACAAATTCTCAACACCCAAGAGAATGCAGCTCTCGCTTATACTGTACTTCAATTTAACACTGAAGTTAAGGACAGAAGCCTAGGAAACAAATACTGCGGATCTCCTGACCCTACTCTCAGTCTCTCTGGAGTCCCTTGTGTACTCAACCACAGCTCTGTGCCTGGCTCTCGGACTCCACCTAGTCCCACCTCAACTGCACTTAACAGCAAGATTGTTCAGTCTGGTGGGCCTTTCGAAGCCTTTCTAGGAGAATCTGTGCACAGGATTTGTACCCCGGGCTAAGGGAGAGGCAGGGTCTCGCTCTAGGAGATGCATGGGAGTCAGGATTATTTGTTCATTATTTGTTCAGCAGTCAGCTCCATGAGAGCAGAGACTGGATCTGTCTTGTTTTCAGCCATTTATATCCTGGAACAACCTGGCACATGGGAAGCACTCACTAGAAATTAGAATGAATGAATGAATGGGTGTTTTCTCAGAGAACCTATTATTTCAAAGGGACTCTTTTTTTAAACATGAAATTACACGCTATGCCAATGTGATGTGGGGCTGATTAAAGTTATTTATGAGATCACACACAAAAGTGACGCTGTTTTTGGCAATGGTCACCTGGTGGCTGCGAGCATCAGCAATGTGGGTGCAGAGCTCCGGACCCTACTGATCTTTAATAAAGCAGGCTTGGCTTGCAGATGGTTTTCCATTCTCATAGACCACTTTTTAACCTGAAAATGGCATCCTCAAAGATACACCTTTTGGGGCTTGGGAGGTGGGAGTCACATGTTGGTAAGAAAAAGAAATGTTTTAGAAATCAGTTGGCAGTCAGAGTAGGTTCTTTGCTAAAAGATTCCTTCAAGGGTCTTACCTCTTCAGCACCTCCACCCGACGGGGTACTGAAAGGGAATCTGGTCAGGGGAGGGAAGGCTGCTGTGCTCTCCTTGGACACATTCAGAACTAGGACTCTCCACCAAATCCATCCACAGAATATTCATTTGCCAGAGTGCACTTTGGCGACCTTGGGTTACAAAATGTGCTCAACTAAGAGGGGCGTAAAGTACTCCCAGGACAATATGACTGAATGGGCTCTTCTTGGAACACTCGATGCTGCCAGCTACCTAATCCAGTTTGTAGACACCATTCTACAACTCTCATTTTGGGATGCCACAGTCTGTTTGCTGAGACAAAATGACAGTATATGCATGCAAGACATAGTACCTTCAAGTTTCACAAGTATTTGTGCACTAGGAACAGTCAAGGAGCAAAAACGAGAAAACACTTCCCTCCAAGATGAGAATCCACCCTAGGACCTCCTCCTCTGTGATCTGTGCCTGGTCCTCTCTGTCCTTAGCTTGCAGGCCTCCCAACCTGCAGCTTGAGGGACAAACCAGCACTGGAAGACAATAAGCACTGAAGTCACAGGGCTGGCCTGAATCCCTGCTTGGAGAGTCAGTTATCTTTCAGCTTCATCTCCAGGGCTCTTCTGAGGTGTTCAGGGCTCCTAGTGCTACAAGGCTTTTGCCAACAAAGCCCAGACAGATTCTTCAAGTTTCTGGGAGGGCATGTGGGATCAGTCTCTGTTAGTGAGAAGACTAAACACTGAAAAAACTGTGACTGTGCTCTTTCAAATTAGGCCCAGAAGAAAATGTTTGTGAAAGAGAAGAAGAATTTGGAAAGGGTAGAAGATTATCTGGTTTAGTAGAGCCTGAAGTTCTGGGGCTTTTGGATTGGCATGTGTAATATTTCATGTGTGAAAAACCAGGATAGGGTTAGCGAGTGGAGAAAGCCAAGGAAAATAAGTAGCTCCTGTTCCAGTCTTGTAGTTTCATCCAAGCTTAAGACATTTTAGAAGTTAACGGGGAGGCTGGGGCTTAACATTGGCTGTAGTGTGAGCACCACACAGTTCCGGTCAGAGGTGTCTGCAGTGCTTGGCGCTGTCACTTAGCCTTGGATATCAATTTGAAGTAGTTGGTAGAATCGAGTGCACATATGTGGACCCCGGGTATAGGTGGGTGCGCAAGGCAGCTGTGGTCAACGGCATTAACTTTCCCTTCTAGAGTTTCTCTTGGGATAAAAGTGTCCAGTCTTTGCTCCAAAAGAGGGTTAGCTTCTGAGCACTGTGAGGCTCAACCATAAAGCAGCACCCTGATGACAACTATTTTTGTCACCAATTCATTTAAATTTTCAGAGAAGTTGTCATCATTTGATCAACATACAGTGATGGGTCTTTTGGTAGTTTTTCAATTGATCTGTTACAGTTTACTACTTCAGATGCTGTTTTGAAGCTTCTCACCAAAAAAATCTTCAGGGTAGTTTGATGCTTGGTTATTGTGAGTTCTGAAACCACAAAAGGGACAAGGACCCAGAAATTCAGTCTCTTTCATAAAATGGTTTAAGGATCTCCTTCTCAGGACTAGGAGATCCAAATAAAATTGGGTGGAGAGGGATAGAGAGAGGGAGGATATGATGATAAAGAGCAATTCACTTTCACTAAGAATGTATTTGTGCAAAGTAAAAGTCCCTTTAAAGTATGACAAAAGGTGACAAATAAAGGTCATTGTTCACAGGAAGGGCTCTTCTGAAAATGCACACGTTGGATGTTCACTCCCCAGAGCTTGGCTTTCTTGTCACTGGTCATCACCAATTGTGCCCTTGGACTTGGAGAACTTGCTGGTGACTGCAACTGGAGGCAAGACTGGGGGAGCGTAAGGCCTCAGTGTCACTCAGCTCCCATTGTGATCAGGAATCCCAGCGGGGCCCGCCCTGGCAGTGGAGGCGAAGGGGTGAGATGACCGAGGGAAGCCCTGTGCCCTGCACAGCGAGGTTGGTGTAAGTGACTTCTGTGTGGCTGATCACTGTGAGCATGGTAGCTTCTGAGCTGCTCTGAGGATGCTGGGAGAAAATGCCACAACTTCTCATGCGGGCATGGTGGGAGCAGGCCAGTGGTCCAGCCTGTAGTCCAGGACCAGGTCCTGCCTCAGCAGGGCTGACAGCAACAAGGCCTGGAAGGGGCCCAGGGCCCAGGGAGCAGGCCTTCCAGATAAATAGCACCCATAGGAACAGAAAACAAGACACGATTTAAGGCATTGTTTGTTTACAGTAAAAGAACGCAAGGGACCCTAACACAGGGGCATCTGGGCTCCCACTCTGACCTTTCTTGGTGGACAAGGCTATCACTGAAGGTTTAAGCAGGGCCTCAAAAAGCAAATGAAGTGTGTGATGTCACAAGTCTTGTGCCAAAATGCATGTTTCTTGGAGATTTCACTCTCGCTCCCACACACACATGTACGGCACACACACATAGAGGACGCTTCAGGGGTTGTACAAAATCTGAGGCAGCCCAGTGGGTGAGCAGCCCCATGCACTTGGGGTGTGACAGGCCTGTCCCTGCTGTCTGGCCCCATTTGCAGGTGAATGCTGTCCACTCTGTGTGCAGCAGGAAGGACGGAGAACCCAACGTGGGCCAAATGCTGTCTAGTCGCAGAAGAAGCTGTTGGACAGACGAGGTCCAGAGAGGGGTGGGGGTGTGCAGTCTGGGGTCTGACCAGTGCCCTTCGAGGTGGTGCCGCAGAATGAGTTGTGAGAGTCATTGGGAACCGACAGGTGGATCCTGCACTGGGGAGCCCTCTGGGACTGTGAGGCCGAAGGCCATGTCCCCTGAGTCTGGCTGTGAGGCTCCCAGCATCCTGGCTCACAGCCTGTGCCCAGGGCTGCTCTCCTCCACCAGGCCCAGTCTGGGCTCCCAGAAGCCTTTTCGGTCACGCCAAGTCCTGCAGAGACTTATTCAAATGACATAAGGTTTGCAGGTACCTGGAAGAGAAAACTTAGCTTCTTGTCAAAGTTCTGATACTTGGAAAGGGACAGGGTAGACCCTAGGGGAAGGGACCAGGCCTTTCCTAGCCAGGCTATGAATGAGCAGGTCAGGTGCGGAGAGAACATGGCAGTAATAGTAGCTTCTACATGTGTAGTGACCACTTTGTGCCAGACACTGGTCTGAATACTTCACATGCAGTATGACCTGCTCCTCACACCAGTCCCAGGAGGCAGGTGCTGGAGGCATCCACATTATGCAGATGAGGAAACAGAGGCTTTAGGAGTTTAATACACAGTGAGGAGGAATCCCAGCCTAGGCTTTCAACCACTATCCTTCCATCAAACTAAAACTGCACTTGGGGTAGGGAGGACCAACCTCACAGGAATGGGGTGTACATGTACCTCTGGAGGGGACACCAGCAGGGGGGGTAGGGGGTGTCACTGGGGGATGGTGGAGAATGGCACATGGAAGCCCAGGAGAAGGATGAAGCATGTGGATATGACAAACCCTAAGGCCTCCCCATAGTGTGCTCCAGCACAAAGCCCCATCCCTGTTTACTGGGGGACTGTCACCACCACAGTCAAGTTGCCCCAGCCTCAGACCTCCTCTCCCAGTACTGCCATGGGTTCTAAGAAACTTGATTAGAAGCAATTTCATCAAAATAAGCCCATTTGGATACCAATTTAGTAAAAGCGAATTAGGAAAAAATGCATCTCCATGCAGCAGGAGACAGTAAGAATGTTCACAGCAGCAATGTCCAGATAGTAAAATGCAGGCTGGGGTGACCAGCAGAAGACATGAGCAAAGATCAGTGCAAATAAATGAACTGACTGATATGTGTGCCAACACCAGTGAATCTTAGGGACATGTTGCTGTGGAGCATTTACATGGTTGCCAACCTTTTACTATTATATATATCACAAAGTGGGACTATTTGATGAAAAAATAAGGATCACATGTATAACAGATAATGTGAAATAGGAAGAAAAGGTCTAAAGGGGAAGGGGAAGTGGGAGGGGTAGGGGAAAGGAAAGAAGGGAAAGGAAAAAAATCTGAGAAAAGGAAAAAACAGAAACAAAATCGTTATAAATAAGCAAGGGTGGAGGGGTGAAGGGAGGGCAGGGGAATGGGGACAAAATAAGAACCAAGATACATCATGTAAAGGTATGAGTTCCCAATGATGAATGTCAGCATATTGTATACCTAAAATGTACCAATAAAATTAATGAATGAAAAAAAGGAAAGAGTCCAAAGATTTCTTAAAATGTGACCTAGTCACCTAAGTAACTATTGCCCTAATGAGAATCGGTCTATTCCAGAAACCATATCATAATCAACCTTGAACTCTAATGTGTACATTTCCATTGGAAATTTTCAAACTGAAGTTTGCTGATCCCTTTGGAGGGTTAGCATATTTTCTATTTATAATAAATTATTGAGAATTTTTTTAAAGTACATTAGAAATAAAAGAAACAGTAGAAAAACATGTTGCTTCCTTTTGGCCTGAAAATTGAACAAAATCCTTTAAAAAAATGGCAGGATTTGCCTCAGACACCATATTTACCATAGTTGGTCCTTTGGACCAAACCACACTGCTTTTACCTGGTTCCAGGCTGCCTGCTGTGCAGTGCTGCTGCCCTCTGGCTGCAGTCTGCAGAGGGATGCAGGTCCTTGCTCTGGGCTCCTTTGGCTGCTCCAGGCTTAGACCAAGGTCCTGCCTCTTCCCCCACCTTGCCCAGGCCACCTACCCAAGGGCTGTCAGTTCCTGCAGTTCTTCAACCACCTGGTGTCCTGCATGTAGGTTCTGGGCCAACTGTGTGTGGCCCGTGAGCTTCAGTGTGCTGTGCTCTTAAGAGTGGTGCTCGGAGCTGATGAGGGAGCGCAGATGCACCTGGGCACCAGTGCTGAGGCCAGGGTGGTTCCCAGTCCAGCTCTCCCTCTTTTAATGTCATCTTATTCAAGCCTCCATGCTGTGTTCCATAGATTGCTTTGAGATGACAGTTGACCAGAGCCACTGGTCTTTCCGTTACAGAGATGGGAATGATGTTAATTTAATGTACAGAGTATATGTAAGCTGGGCCAGGGGTGTGGCTCTGTGGTACAGTGATTGCCTGGCATGTGCAAGGCCCTGGGTTTGACTCACAGAACCTCAAAAGCAGTATGTGTGTGTATGTGTATATATTCTAGAAACTGCAGAATTACAGTTTCTTGCATGTTAGTGTAGAAGGTTTACATGCATATACAAACATACATATGGTAGATATGGATATGTATTTTGAGGGGGGGTTGAGACTGAATCTCACTAGATAATTCAGGCTGGGCTTGAACTCGAGGGTGGGCTTTTTGAGGGTGGGCTCAAATTTGCAGCAATCCTGTCGCAGTCTCCCAAGTGCTGGGATTACAGGTGTGTCCCACTGTGCCCAGCTGTCTATGTATTTGAATATGAGTGATGTCATCCTTCCTGTTGTGTGTGCCCCTTGCTTGATTACTGGTATGATGGGGCTCCATCTAGGGCTGCACCCAGATGTGCTGCCATCTTCCTAATGGCTACCTGGTGCCTCACAGTAGGGATCTGCTGCGGGTTATGCCGGTTTCCATTGCTCTATCAAGGGCAGTGCTACAGTGACTGTTTTTTAGCATACACTTCCGAGGACCTGGGGAATCCCTACCAGCATCACAGGTGAGTCAGAGGACATAGTGAGGTTGATTTGGGCCTCCCTGTGGTACCTCAAGTTTATCCTTGTATTAGTTTTGTCCTGCTATCTTAGTTTGTTGAGGACTTCCTGCTAATTCTGCTTCCAACTTCTTACCATCTATAATCTTGACCAGCTTCTCATATATGTCCCCAGCTACATTATAACTGAGAATCCTCAACAGGACCAAGCTGAGTGCAGAGCCCGAGGACCTGCCCACTAGTGTCTTCCCTCTGTTTACAAGAAACACTCTGAGGGGCCAAGATGGGTCAATGTGCTGTGACCAGCAGGTGAAGTCCCTGTCCTCCCAGGCCCAGCGCCTGATGCTGAGGTCCCCTCAGACCTTCCTCCTAGAAGTGGCCACCATCTATCCCGTGCCCTGTACTCTTCCAGACAGACTGAGGAGAGGGACCCGATGTCACCAGTTCCCTCTAATATGGGTGTTTAGGGACAGGAGCACCAATGCTGCCTGCTGGCTGCAGGGAGGGGGAGCTCCAGTCTGCCCCCATCTGTGCTGAGGTGGCACAGCCGTGTCTGTCAAGTCAGCCTGGCCAGTAGGGCTGTGTTCCCAGGGCCCTGGCATGGCTGCAGGGCTATCAGGGAAGTAGGGGCAGGACAGGTTGGGGTACAAAGTCAGGATCAGGAGTCAGGTGGTTCTGAGTTAGATCCCTGCTCCACTGTGCATTAACATTGAAGGAGTGTCTGCCTCTTTCTGAGCCTCAGAATCCTCAGCACAAAATGAAGACAGTAAGAGAACCTTACGGGATGGAGGACTGGGCCAATTCCTGCATGTGAAGCATTTAGAGTAATGGCTGATGAGGAGGGGGTAGGGAGGAAGCCAGACCCTGAGCCAGGTCCAGCAGCCCAAAGGGAGCCCACATCTGTACAAAGTCACTCGGAGCCAGGGTCCCCCAGTCATCAGCTCGGGGTTGGCCTTTAATAAATGAGCTGCCACTATCATTTCCAAGGGTTGTGGGACTGGGAGGTGCATTACTCTGGGATATGCACATGAAATCAGCTGTTGGGAGATTAATTCAATAGATGCTGGAGCCTGATCCTTGCCACCTCCCTGTCTTCCAGTGAGTGTTTTTTCGGTATTTCCTTTAGTGGAAAAGACACAGGAACCAGATCCAAAGTTCACCAGGTCTCCAGTTCTGGCGCTGGGCTCCATTCTATGCTGTGCAAGGGGTGTCTTGCTTCAAAGGAAATTGCCGACCCAGAGAGGGTGCCTGGGAACAGAGCTGATGGGCTCTGAGGGAAGAAGGGAGCCTGTTTCCTAAGGAGCTCGAGTCCCTGGGGAGGGAAGGTTATTTCCGGTGAGAAGCAGGATTCTGGTGACTTTACCTGAGGCCTGTTGCTTTTACATGCATCATCCAAATGCTTGTGCCACAGTATTGCGTGGAATCGGGAGCCAGTCTGAAACTTGTAAACATTGCCTGATGGGTAGAGAAAGCATTGGTTAAGAAGAGGGCACATGGTGGTAGAGCATTTGCCTAGCATGTGTGAGGTTCTGGGTTCAAATCTCCAGTATCAATCAATCAATGTAAATACACACACATATAAATACATACATGACAGACATGAAGGGCCAGCCTGTGACTGTGACTGTGCAGAAGGGAAACACAAGCCTGGAAGACTAATCTAAGGAAGGTCAGGAGCAGCCCCAGGTGAGCTGGGGTTGACAGGCAGGTGGGCCCCCATGCTCCCCTGGTTGTCTCTTCGGACAGGGGCTTTAACCATGTTTTGGACATGAGTGCTTTTGATCACCTGCAAGCTTGTGACCTCTTCTCAGAATGTTTTTAAATGTATAAAATAAACTATAAAGGAAGTCAATGATCCTGAGACACAGTTAGGAAACTACCTAAAAACCAACTGGGTAATGGAATTCTATGCATGCCCCCGTACTGATCCACTAGTAACCGGATCTAGTGCTTGTCTGATACTATGCTTTGATTTCAAAGAGATGAGTATAAATGATCCTTTGAGATATCTGCAACCACTCGTGATATGAAAATATCCATGATGTCTCTCAGGGATAAATTCACAGGGATTGCTAACACATTTGCCATTCGATACCTATATTCATGATGGAAACAGAAGTTACTGAAGACAAAGATGTGATTTTTCTGTCCTCGTCCAAGTTCACAGATCCTTCAAATTCTACACATGGACTCTGGCCAACCCTCGTGTCACATTTCCTTCTGCTTGGGGATCCTGTTTTCCTCTGGGGTCAGGCTCAGGAGTAGCTTATGGTTCCTGGGGGCACAAGGTCTCACAGTGAAGCTTGTGCAGGCCAAGCCTTCTTTCTTCCTAATGAAACCAACCCTGGAGAAACTCAAGTGGTAACCCAGCTGAGGATGTGTGTGTGTGTGACGCGTGTGAGCTCACACTGACAGGGAGCACAGAACGGGGCCATCTACCTCTTTCCCACCCCCTGGGCTCCTCAAGGCTCCTGTATACCTTGTTTCTTTGCTTCTCAACTGAGAACACAGCAACCTGGCACTCATTGTGTGGTCCCCTGGCCAGCACCATCATCTGCCCCTGCCCCCCAGGAGCCTGTTAAAGATGCAGAATCTTGGTCTCCAGTCCAGATCTATAGACTCTAAGTCTGAATGTCAACAAGATTCCCAGGAACTTGTCTGGGCATGAACCCTGTTCTAGAACATTCCTGTTAATGTGTAAAGATATGTGAGGGTGCTGCAGCCCCAGGGAGTTGGCCTGGCTTGAATCCAAGACTCAGGCCAGGTTGAGTTTTTGTTCTGTGACATGGGCTACTGAGCAGGCTAGCTATGGCCTCTGCATATCAGGATGGTGCCCAGAGCCTCTCCTTCCTCCAAGCAGGGCCACAAAGGAGGTACAGAATCAGGAGGGACTGGGAGGCCCCTCAGGAGGGGGAGGTTGGAGCTGTTGGAATTTACACAGTTCTTCTCAGTTGGCCTTGGACTCGGAGGCTGCCACGCCACAGGCAGTGGGTCTAAAGTGCCCCAGGGTCCAAGGCCCTCTGGTCCCTTGGGTCCAATGGCATCCACAGGACTGTTCTTTGTTCCTACACTGAGGCTACAGCTCATGATGGGCTTCAGGAGCCAAAGGCAAGGCCAAAAACGTGATTCCTGTAGCCACACACCACGTGCAATGCTCAACGGGCACACCAACAGTGATCCAAGCAGCTTCATGGAGTAGTGAGGACATAGTGGGAGACATCCAAACCTAACGCAAAGGGAAACAGCAGCCTCAGAGCTCCTCGTGCTTCCAGATGCCCATTTGGCAGAAGAGGAGATGGGGTAGAGGAGCTGCTGGTATCTGGTGCACAGTCTGCTGCCCACCTTTGTCAGGGTTGTTCAGCTGGAAGATATCCGGGTGCTCAGGGTCATCAGGCAGCTGCACCATCCAGCCCATGATGGAGACCTTTTTGCCAGGTGTGGATTTATACTAGAGGAGAGGAACACACAGCTGGGAGGCTCAGGCCCGTGCCCTCCTGTTCACAAGGGAGGCTGACTTGGCCAAGCAAGCTTCCTTCCCACCCCCAGCCCTGCAGTTCCCAGAGGTCCCTTGTCCCAGGTGAGGTCCTAGTACAGGAGTCCATTCATGGGTCTTACATGTTTTCTGTCTGTGCCTCGCAAGGACTTGGCTCCGTAGTACAGGAGGGTGGATCCTGAGAGTATGACCCAGTACCTGGTCCAGGAGGACAACTGCACAAGAAGGGGAGGCAGAGTGATGACATGGGGGGATAGGGTGGCCCCTGGCTTCCCGATTGCAGATGCAGCCACCCCATGCCAATACCAGCTTAGGTCTCCTCTCTTTCCTTGCCTCTGCCATCCCCTGGCAATGCCTTTCCTCCTAGAATTAAGAGGAGGGGACTTTTCTTTATCCTCTCTCACTCCTTTATGTGGTCTTTCCTTCTTAGACCACTTTGTTGAAGCCAGTGCCAGGGCATAATTCCGACATAGTCAAGTGACCTGGGCCCAAAAGCATCCTGGGAAAAGCACTTTTAAAATACAGATGTGCTAAGCCACAATCTAGAAGCTTGATGCTTGCAATGGGCTGCCCTGGATGGAGTTGAGGGGTGGGGACTCTGGAAAAGCCAAGCTATGGGCAGGCTTCTGTTTCTCCAGGACAAAGGACAAAATTCCCAAGGCCCTACGCCTTGGTTTGGGGGAACCACTTCTACAGGGTTTGGTTCTGCAAAGGCAAAGCCAATACCCAAGTGGCAGGAAAAGGATGTGCCTTCAAGGAGGCCCCTTCATATTACCAAGGGCTTTAGTCCCACAGAGGTGCACAGCACATGGACACTCAAGTGACGAACTGACAACGTTCATGGAACGATACTCATCTGTACTATATGTGAGGGACTCTGAAAAATTTCCATTCTGCTCTACTGAAAAATATGGGTCATGACCCACTGACCTGATTTCATTACTCACTATCAAGTCAGCTATCATTCGGGACAACACTGTCTCAAGGACACTGCCAGGCTCTGGCCTTGGGATGGCTGGGGCCTGTACTCTGGGCAAGGAGAGGGACTGGGCAGTCAGTAGAAGAGGACAGACAAAACCCCATGCTGCAGGAGGCTGTGACACTGTGGGATTCCATATCACTAAGTGACAGAGTGTGGCCAGATCTGAGGAGACTTTCTCATCACCCGAGCGTCAACTGGCAACTAAACGCAGGGGCTCCGAGAGCACCTGGAGGGGGTGGGTGGGCTGGGCCCTGGCATCTTCTTGGTGGGCACAGGGAGGAAGGGCATCTCCAGCTGATGCTGTGGGCAGTGGACAGGGATACAGGGCCAGAGCAGGACAGATGCTGCCTGGAGATGCAGCTCACGGATGGCTTGGGGCAACTTGTTGTGCAAGGGGCTGAAGTTCTGTCACATGGGGTCATGGAGCTGGCGACATCTGGGTTCAGCACTGGAGGCTGGTGGTGAAAGTCCTCCTGATCCTCATCCGTGTGCTTTCCTCCACTCATTTTAGGACACTGCTGGGACAAGTGGGAATCTGCATCGAGGAATGCCACACAGCCAAGCACGGGTTCGGGGCCACTCAGCCTCCTGGGCCATTTGACCTTTTTGTTCCCAGCCTCCAGGTTTGCACCTGCCCTCCAGGCCACTGCCCATGCTCCCTGCGTGTAGGCACTGCCACCCGAAGCTTCCAGGAGGAGGCTCAGTGTTGTACAACATGGACACAAAGGCCCCACCCTCTCAGCTGCCAGCTCAGGCTAGGAGCCTTCCTGGCCACCTTTAGACCAGGTGCTCACTCTAGCCAGGCTGCCTCCAGCAGACGTGCTGACTTACTGCGGGCTTCCGTCCTTCCTTGAGCAGGGTTTTCCTTCTTAGAGGCCCCTCCATGGTGGGCACAGCTGCTGAGCTTCCCAGGGTACAGGTGCATGGGCTGGTGGGGCTGAGGGGAGACCACCAGTCAGACACAGCCTGGCATGCTCTCACCCACTGGGGTCCCTAGGAGTCCACTGGTGAGCCCATGGCGTTCCCCTAGGCAAGTGGATTTCAAGTACTGGGCAAGGCCGGGGAGGGGAGGGCCAAGGTCCTAGAAGAGCAGGGAGGGCTCCTGGCAGCTGAGCACTTTCACCTCCTCGGTCTTCAAGCTCTAGGCTTAGTGATCAAGTTCCCCATAACTCAGCTCCTAGCAGCAGCCGCCCTATCCGGAAGACACCTCTGTCACGACTTCCTCCTGGGCTAATACCTACAGCTTCCTCTAACCCTGCTCCTTGGGCTGGCAGAGCCTCGGAGGATATTTGGTTGGGCACAGTGGAGGGAGACATGGGAGTGCCCACAACTTTTCCTTCAGGCTCCTCTTACCCTCTCCCTCAGGATCAGGCACCATCCACAGGTGGTGACCCAGCAGTGCACGGCCAGGCCAGCCTGTCTGAGCCCCAGATCTGGGTGCTTCTGCTCACAGGTGCCACATAGGAGGCACCTTCCCAAGCCTGCTGGAGAGCACCTCTGCCCCACAAACCAATCAGTCCCAAGGATGCACTGATGCCAGGTCCTAACTATGCCTGGCAGTCCATCCCAGCTGTCCACCTCCCCTCCAAAGGCTAGTGAATCTTCCTTTGGATGACTGCTCACTGCCCGCCCCTGCCCTGCTTCCTCCTCTACCCTCTCCACGATAACCCCTCCCACATCCAACCCCTTCCCTGGCTCCCGCTGCTTTTAAGGGGCAAGTCACCAGTCTTCCACCTGCTGGATGTGCCTCCACCCCAGTCTCATCTGTGCCACTTCGTCTCTCTCATTCTGCACAACACTGCATCTGTCTCCTTCCACAGCCTCCAACAAAGAGCTCTGTACTCAACAAGCATCCTAAAAGTGTCCCCTGAATAAATGAGCAAAGGAACAAAGGAATACCTGTAAGCACAGCTCCGGGTTCGGGGAGAATTCTGAACTGGAACCCGCCAGTTGGGTCCTAGGGTGGCATAGAGACGTCCCCTGCTACAGAGGAAAAGGGGTGAATTTCAGCCACAGCTCAGAAAGACCAGGTATCCCCTATGACTCTGTGGGTCAGCCCCTCCCCTCCCCCTCTCCAGGCTTCTCACTCCTGCTGCAAGCACCTCTGGGGCACTTCTGGAGCCACCAAGTCAGTGGACACACACCATCAGAGTCCTCCTCTGGGACCTCTCCAAGTCTCTGGTGAGTATTTCATCTCGTTTGTATCCAAAGTTCACCCTTTTCCCAGTTACCCCAGTGTGTGGCTGATTATGTTTCATGGAAAATGCTGTACAGCCCATACAGTCACAGTAGGGCCACACTGGACATGCACACAGACACAAAATTGTGTGAAGTCTTGGACATCGGGCCTGGGGACATGTGCAGCAACCCCATTCACCAGGACACCAATGGGTCTGTCTGCCTGCTCTGTCCTCTCCTCTGGACAGGCTCATCTGCTAGCTCCAGCTGCCCCTGCAAACTGGCTCTATGACCTGTACAGCATCCAACAGCTCTGTGGCCTTCCCATGGGCTCTGGTCTGGCTTTTCTCCCTCCTGGTGCCCCAGCACGAACCTTTCCAGGGGAGCATGCAGCTTCTGGCTCCACCTCCTTTGGGGGAGGAACCCCTTTGCTCTCTCTTCATCTTTTCCTATCTTAGAAGAATCACTTCCTAGGCCCGCTTGCTGGCAGTAGCCCCAAGTAGACGCGTCCCCAGTCCTGCAGCATGCTCCACCCCTCCGCTGTGGCTTTCTTTGCCCCATGGCCAGATGGCGATGTAACCCCCTATATAAAGTCAGACGATGTCCTTCCCAAATATTCCCCCTGTTGTCCACAGCCAGCCCTGGCCTGCTGCCTACTGGGGATGGTGTGGGGACATCTTCACTCATTGCAGTGGGCACATCACAGCGTCACTGAGCCCAGGGCCTCCATCCTCCAGCCAAGAAAGAAATGTTCCCGATGGCCCTTCGGGTCCACTGTCCAGGGGCACCTTGCTGGTCATCTGGGATGGCTGCTCCAGGACCCTCCCCTTCTGCCATCACTCCTCTTTAGGTGATGACACGCCACAGCCTGCGCTTAGTCCCCCAGGTCCTCAGTGTGACGGGTCTCGTGATGGTCCCAGGCTGACCCCTGACCTATCACAAGCCGTGGCACAGATGAGAGGCCCTGCCATGCTCAACTCCAGCCAGCTGGCCGAAGAGCCTCCTCCCTCTCTGCCATTCACAGAGGGCTGGAACACAGTGTGCGAGTGAGACTTCCCAGAGAGCCATGCCGCCAGCTCTCATTTCTAAGCATCTGGAACCTCAGACTTGAGTAACCTCCAACTGTGGCAGCAGCACTCGCCTCATCCCAAGCTGAGCAGTGCCAGCGACGGGAGCCTCCAGGGCTGCTCTCCTTCCCAGCCATCACAGGGATTTCTCACAAGTGGGGCCTGATGGTGAATTCGGCGATGATGTTCCTCCTCTATGACATCTTCTCTGATGCTGACCCACACTTCCAGTCCGAGCTGCTGCCATCTGGAGCTGAGGGGAGCTTCCCTTCCCTGAGCTGGTCCTCAGGCCTTTGCTGTACCTTCTTGTGGGTCTCTGTCGCCCCAGGACAGTGTGACGACAGGACAGTCTGCAGTCACCAGTCACTCCTCAGACAGGGCAAGGGGCGATGCTGCCACCTGCTTCCCATCATTGTCTTGCATGGTTGGCAGCCATGGCTGTGTATTTAGATGTTGGTGAAACAGGTATTTGTGGATAGAGACTGCAAGTGCATCTTCCGGCGAGCCTGGCCTTGTAGGTGGATATTGCTCCAGTACAACATGCAGGGGACTGGTGGTGCAGAGACACTGGCTTGCTGGGTGGGGTCGCTCACAGACAGACCAAGGAGCCACTGAGGGGCAGGTGCTTGTATGCACCAGGTCATCATGCCTACTCCTCACTGAAGCTTTAAGCACCGCTATGCCTCATGTAAGGAGCAAACTGAGGCTCAGCAATATAAAGCTACTTGACCAAGGCACATGCTTAGTAAGAGTCTGAGTCTACGGCTCAAGCCCCTCACCAGATGAGATGTGGCCTTTCAGAGTGGAAGGAGTAGCAGATGGGCCAACATGGCCTGGTCCATGTCTAACTTCAGTGTGGGCCTCCCTGGCTTACTCCTTAGAGACAGCTCTGATGGGCACTCAGCCTGCACCTCCCACTTACTGAGCTGTGCCAGTGCCTGTGGGGACAAATGGCTATGAAGTCCTCAGCCCTGAGGATCTCCTGGGGTGGGCAGCTCCCAAGTCCCCCGTTCCTTGGCTTCATCCATGCAGAATTCTCCTGGGGGCTCTGGCTGCCCCATACATCACAGCCACTGGCTCCTGACCCATTTACTGTGTACTACTTAAGTGCTTTTGCACAGGAATTTGCCCAACCCTGTGGGAGAGGTACAGTCAATCTTCATACTGTTTTAGATGAGAACACTGAGACTCAAGGAGGCAGGATGTGAGTGCCTGCCCTGGTATGGGCCAAGGGCCTGCCTGAGACAGTCTCCAGATCTGCTTTCTCAGCAGCTGGGTGGCAGCCATCCCTCAGAAGCATAGGAAGGGGTGGCAGCAGCCTTCCATCCCTGCGAGCCGGAGGCTGTGATGGGCAGGCAGCTCAGCCTGGTGGGGTCAGCTGGCATCAGCGCAGAGTAGTGAGGGCCTCAGTCACAGGAGCCAGGTGGCCTGATACTTTCCTGTTTTCTTAGGAAATTTCTTGGGAATTTTCTAGACTGGGAAATGCAATCTGAGTGGGCAGGGGTATCTGGTAAAGGCAGGGAATCATGGATTTCTCAAGGGCTCCTACTCCAGAGCCACAGGCACTGTTCCTAGTGTTGCTCTGGTTCCTTCTCTAGGATGTGGGCCTGAAGGGTGCTAGCAGGCAACTGAGGCCTCTCCAGACCAGGAGCTCATGGGAAGTTTGCTCCGGGGAAGATGTAGGCTGGCAACCAGGTCAAACATCTCAGTCCCCCAGAGTTCCCAAAATGATGATGACAGTGCGATGATGGGATGATGGGATGATGATGATGATGTCAAGGATGATGGTGGTGATGGGATGATGGGTGCCAGGCAATGTGCTCAGCAGTATTTGCTCATTAGCCCACTTAGCCATGTAACACTGAGGCAGGCTCTGTTACCCCTGCCGCATGGATAAGGCATCTGAGGCTTGGAGAGGTGAGGTCACTTGCCCAAGGTCACGGCACTAGGAAGAGGAAGCATGGAAGGGCTGTAGAAGCAGCCAGAGGACTGTCTGGGTCACCAGCTACATGCACACTAAGGCTAGCCACGGCATTGTCGCCTAGGTACACAACAGACTACGGCAAAGCCCTGAGTCTTTGCTGTGAGGCCATGGGGTGCAGGAGCTCTTAGATTACAATTGTGTTGAGGCCTCAGGAAGCTTGGTCTTAGCAGAAGTTGGACTTTCCCCCCATCCTCCCATCTCAAGTTCATAGCGCCCTGGCAGGCTGCACCTGTGGAAAGGCCCAGGTGATACATTTTTCAGAGGTGTTTATCTGCATCCACAAACTCGAGATGCGAAGCCAGTCCTCCCACTAAGCCATGGCTTGTCTGGCCACTTCCTGATGTTTACCCTCATATGGATGCAGGAAGTGCCACCCTGAATTCTGCTGGGCATTTGGGCACCTGCTGGACATTTACAGCACTTTTTAAAGGACCTCTGCTCTCTGTGAGCCACTCACCCTTCTCTGAACAATGTCCCTGGTTCACTAGGCAGGTCCTCAGGGTCCTGCATATCCCCAGGCTTCTGACAGCTGAACAAGTGGGATAAATACAAATCTATGACAGATTTCCTCTCCTGGCCATTAGGAACTAGAACAGTGAGGCTGGAAGTCAGGCTCAGTGGCCCGGTGAAGCCACCCCACAAAAACCTGGGAGCTGTGTGGCATCGTCTGTCTCCACTGTGTGCTGAGAAGTTTGTAGAGAAGGAAAGGGGAAGAGCAGACTGCAGAGGGCAGGACAGACACAGTGAAGGAGAGACTTGGCCGTGGCTTGGCACTGGCTCTGGGAGGAGATAAAGGCCCTGGTCAGAAAAGCTGTGGGAAGGGGTTCTTGGGTCCCCAAGAAAAAGCAGCTGGCCAGGGCATCCAGCCTTGACTGCCACAGCCAAGGACAGGCGTTATGACTCGGGTCCAAAATGGTTCCCCCAAAGCTCACTGTGTCGGAGGCTTGGTTGCCAGGTGATAGGCTTCTGGGAAGCGACTGGCTCAAGAGGGCTCTAACTTCATCTAATGGATCGATCGATCCAGTGGTGAGTTCATTAGTGAGTAGACTTCTTAGGAGGTAGGGCTTCACTGGATAAAGCAGGTCACTGGAAGGCTCTGAAGGGTATATTTTGTCTCTGTCTCTCTCTCTCTCAGTTGCCATGGAGAGGTGTGCCCTCCTTATGCCATGACACTCTGCCTCACCTCAGGCACAGAAACAGTGGAGCCAGTTGACTATGGCCTAGAACTTCTGAAACTATGAGAGCCAAAATAAAATGTTTTCCCCTTGAAGTCGTTTTTCTCAGGTACTTTGTCAGAGCAACAGAAAGCTAACTAACACAAGGGATCAAGCACATGATCCCAGAACCCAGAGGTCCAGGGACCTTTGCCCACTCTTGTCTCCAAGGATTCAGCTGGGAGGCCTCACATGCCAGACGAGTGTTGGAAGCTAAGGGAGCAAAGTGGGAGACGAAGTCTTTGGGGAACCATAACCCTGTGTGTGGCAAATTATCCAACTGGGCTGCCAAGGGCCTGGGCCAAGTAGACAAACCCAGGTGTAAGGACGGATCCAGGGAAAGCAGCGCTCAAGGAGTGAGGAATGAGAGTCAGGCATCCTGGCCTCAGCCACAGCAGGGTGGGGCTGGCAAGGTCCTCTGTGAGTCACCATGAGTGCAGCTGTGCTGAGGGGACCCTCGCGCCAGAGCCAGACCTAATTCTCCCCAAATACTGCAGACTTTGGGGCTCCGAGCCACCTTGTGCCCTGGCAAGCCTGGGGCATCAACCAAACCCTTTGATCCCAGGAAGGGAACATGCATCTTTGAAACTGTTTCAGGGGTAGCAGGCATGGTGCTCTGTCACCACCAGGCATCTACTTTCCTGACGTGTCCCTGAAGGCAGTGGGTGGTTCCACTAGCTGAGACCAACAGGAAAGCTCCTCACACGGAGCGGAAACTGCTTCACCCAACCACCTCAACACTTGCTGCCATGGGGCCAGCTGCCTGCAGTACCCTTTAGAGCCCATCCTGGGGCCAGCACCATCCTGGGGGTTGCAGGGGCTGGTGGAGCAGTGCCTCCCAGTCTGTCTGCCCACAGGGACTGAACTGCCACCTGAGGGGATTTTCTTCCCTTGCCCAGCCTTAGCCCCTGGGTGGTTTTGTTACTGGTAAGAGGCACCTACAAGGGGAGCTCTTAATTAATAAAAGTCCCGCATTGGTTCCTCCATGGAGCAGCTCTGCCGTGTGCACATCCCCATGGCACACTGAGGAGCTGAGGCTCAGAGGCCGAGGCTCTCCAGGGGACTGAGCACAGGTGGCCCTGACCCCGGGCCCCTGGCCTGCTGGCCCAGCATTTGCTTTGCAGGTGCACCAGGAACTCAAGAGAGCAGGACCCGTCACAGGGCCCACCTCTTTACCTCTCCCACAGGAGACTCCTAGAGACCCTGAGCGTTCCTGGGCCACCTCTCCCATCCAGGTAACTCACAGCTCACGGGCTCCTCAGGCCCCAGGACCCCCCTAGGGCTCTCTACGGTCCTCTTTACCAAATGCCCTTGGATCTTAGCTGCCACCTCCTCCAGAAGCCCCCCTGAACCTGCAGCTGACACAGTTCTCCCTGCTGGGTGACCACGACTCCCTGCTCAACCCTGCCAGGGCCCCCTGTGCAGCTAGCTTGACTCTGACAAGGTCCCTGCAAGACAGGAGCCTTCTGCTTCAGAGGAGGCTATGTGCTGTCCCCTCTCCCCCTCCCTGTCCCACTTGAGGGGCTTCCTCTGCCACTGGGGCCCTGAGGCCCCTTCCCTCCTATTCTTTCCATCATCCCTGTCATAGTCTGATCTCACACAAGAGGACACTTCCACAGGGCTGGCACTGTCACGCTAGTGACACACTAAAAAGGGTGGCTGAGGACTTTGCAATGAACTCTGTGACACATGTCCCTATTTCGCTCCCTAAACACTGGTCAGTAATCATCTCTGAAGATGTCTTCTTCTAAGAAATATAGGGGTTGGTGCCTCTGGAATGGTCCATGGCTCCAGTGGAGCCAATGTGGGCACTGCTCTTTTATCTTTTTTGAGCCAGGGTCTTGCTATGCAGTTCAGGGTGGTTTTGAACTCAGTATGTAGCCCAGGTTGGCCTCAAGCTCATGGCAATCCCCCTGCCTCAGCCTCCAAGTGCTGAGATTGCAGGCATACGCTGCCACACCTGGCGATGTGGGCGCTCTTGATGCTGGCCACTTTGGGGACACACTGGGCACATGTGGCCTGGATCTGGCTGACAATGAACAAACACCTTTAAACCCTGCCACTGACATGTCCATGTGTATAAACTTGGGGAAGGTAAACTCACAAGGTGGGCCAAATAAAGACAGGCAACGGGAACTTTCCTGCCTCCCTGTTTGCAGTGGCATTGATGGTGATAAGAGCTGTGTCTCCCTGCTCTTTACCTTGGTGCATCTGGCTCTATTTCTCTGCCTGGCCTGAGCCAAGCTTTTACTAGGACAGGGGCTGGCCCATCGAAGGCCAGGCCCCTCAGCTTCAGAGCTGCAAGAGGACCTAGTCAGGCCTCCAGCTCTCTTGTCTTTGGTCCCAAGTGAGCCTAGCCCTCTCTTGAACCTGTAACCCGGGTGAGCCCCTTTATCTGTTTGAGCAGGTGGGACAATACAGAGAAAGCGGGGATCGTGCAGTAGCTGTGAGGACAGCTGAAGGCCACTGGGCAGGGAGGTCTTTCTGGGCAGACGCTAGGCCCCGTGCCCAGAGGGTGATACCCAGGGATCCACTCCCCTTCAAAGAGCAGGCACAGATGGAGCACAGGGAGGCTCCCCAAAGGTCAAGCATAAAGGATACCCAGGGGGAGGCAACATGGTGGTGGCTCAGCTGGGAGGGAACAGCATGGAACAAGAGGCAATTCCCTCCACTGCTCCTGCAGAGTCTGCAGGAAAGACTGGAATGCCCATGTGCTTTCCAGGGAATAGATTCTCAGGGAACAGGAGCAGAGATTGATGCAGGATGGAAACAGGGACAGGAGGCTGGGGGCAGTTGGCATTGGGCAGTCAGGCCTGCATGGGAGGGAGTCTTCATTGGCCCCGCTGGCATCTTGTGAAGCAAGTGGCCTTCTGTCCCGCACATCCAGGAGGTCATGGGCCAAGAGCTAAGTCTCCCAGACAATGAAAAGCAGGAAACCCTCTCTGCAGGGCAGTTCAAGAACTGCTGAAGGCAGGGCTGGGCATCTGCACAGTGAGTCACTGGGAAGCCAGTCCTCAGAGGAGATCCTACCCAAAAAGCACCCGCTGCAGACACTCAGATGGAAGTGATCTAGACGCTGTGAAATGTAGCTCACAGTGTTCATGCATTGCACACAGCACTGCCTCCTTGGAGCAAGGAATTCACCCTCACCCTCCTCCTTCCTAGTCTAAGCTCAATCATGGCACTTAATGGGAACCATACAGACTACACCCTCAGCAAGTTGCTTGGTATCTGGCAGGGAGCAGCTGCTTAATAAGTAGCTAGCAAATGAACAAATTCATGAATGAGCAGATGAAGGAATAAAAAAACAACGGAAAGAAAGAAAGGAAGAATGAATGAATGAATGAATGAATGAACAGATCCAGGTGAATGAACAGATCCAGGTGAATGAACAGGTGCTGGTGTGGTTGCTACTCTAGATCTCGGCACTGGCTGGAGTTTCCCATTTGCTGTCCTTTCAGTGGCCTGTGGCCAGGGGAGACACTGGCTTGCCTGTAGCCCTCTTCCTCAGGGCATATCCAGGAGTCCCCTAACTGGGCTGGGAGTTCTGGAGTCTGCCCCTTGGGCTTGTGGGCGTACCCTTCCCACTTTGGGTGGCCCCAGAGCAGGAGCAGCTGGGCCAGTTTGCCTGAGCTCCCCAAAGGGAACAGAGCAAATGTCTCTACAGAAGTCGTGGGACAAGGGCAGACCCTCTACCAGCCATCACCTTGAGTTTCACCGACAGACTGACTGGCTGACTGGGGCCTGGCCCTGTAGAGATGTCACAGCTGGCCCTCTGGCTGAGGGATGGGGAAATGAAAAAGGTGCTTGGTGGCAGAAGAGTGTGGATTTGGGTCAGCTCTGCCCCTGTCAGATGAGTGTGAAGCAGGCAAGTCACTTAAGCTGAGCTCTGCTGTCCACACATACAAAATGAAGACAATATGCATGGCTGAGGTGGAGGTGCAGGGAGTCCATGCACATGCATGGGCGGGGCCCAGACAGACTCTGGCACAAGGAAGTGCTCAGCATGGACATCTGACCGCCTGATGCCCCCTCTCCCCTGTGAGAGGTGGCTAGAGAGAACCAACCTCCCTTCTGGTCACTCTATGGTTGTGGGGACAGCAGCTGCAGCATCATGGGAGTGGGAGTGTATGTGCACATATGTATATGTGTGTACTACGTGGTGTGCATATGTATGTGCACGAGCATACACTCACACATACATGAATGCACACATGTGCACACACATGTATACATGTAGAGTACTGAGAAATGTAGTGCCATGTACCTGTAGGTGTAATTGTGTATGTGCACATGTATACCTGTAACTTTGTACATGTGTGTGCGTGTGTGTAGAGGTGCATAGCCAAGTGTGCGTGTGTGGACATGAGTATGTATTGAGCATGTATGCATGTGCTTATGTGAGAGAGTATGTGTAACTATGCAGATGTGTGCATGTAAAAACATTTAACTGTGAGTGCATGAGTGTGCATGTATATCAGGCAGTGTGACAGTGTGTATGCATGTGCATATATACACGTGAATATGTAACCAAATGCGAGACTGCAGCTGAATCTGTTCATGTATGCATGTGTAACTGAGTGTGTACACAGTGTGTAACTGTGTGTACACATGCACGTTAGAGCACGCAATGGAGTGTGCGCACACGCACATGTGACTGTGAGTGTGTGTGCACACATGTGGATGAGTGTGCAGTTTGTGTATAGGCACTGTGAGAGCACTGTAACTATGAGTGTGCACAGGTGTGTGACATGTGTGAGAGCATGGGTGACTGTACCGGGCCCCTGGGCCCCAGGGGAGGCCCCACCCTGAAGGACAGGATGCACCTGCATCCTGGGACATTTTTCTTCACCAGGTTTCCTTGTGCCTATCCTCAGACCTTGAGTCACCAAGATGTCCACCTCTCCTGGAGCCCAGCTGTGGGTCACCCCTTTGAGGCACCCCTGTCTTCCTAAGACTTGGTGATGGCCCAGGAACACGTGTGACAGGTGAATTCCTGAGTGGGAGGCTGTGTACCGGGGCAGACAGGCTCTGCACAGGGAGTCAAGCCATGGGCCAAGGGAGCTGGGGGATGCATGGCAGGTGTAGACAGTCCTCTGTCACTAGTTCCCAGCAGGGTGGTGTTCAATAAACTCCGAGTGTGAGTGCAATACCCCTAGAGCCCACCAGGCGGAGCCACATGCCCATCTCAAGAACAGGTGAAGCTGCAGCTCCTGGATTCCAGAACCCACAGTGCACAGCCAGTCTGCTCCCAGGCCTGCTCGAGGCCTGGGCTGGAGGAGGCGCTGCTGGGCTGTCCCGAGGACCAGAGAAGTGGGGCTGCTCACAGCACCGAGGCCAGGACACCCATGTTCCTATGGCTCCTGCCCGCTGCTGTGGAGCCACAAGACTGCCCCCTGAGGCCCATGCCCAGAGCCTGCCTCCAGCTCCTTGGGGCCTGAGACCTCCCATGGGAGGAGGCTAAGCTGAGGCCACACTCACCTTTCCAGCCCTGAAGACATCTCTTCACTAAACTCTGAGCTCTCACTACTGCCTGGAAAAGGAACACAGATCAGTGAGCGCAGTGGCCTCGCAGAGAGGAGCCTGTTCCCCTGTGCTCCTGGGTCACTGGGCTCAGGCCCCTGAGTTCACAGCTTTCTGACCCTGTGGGTGACAGCATGACTCAAGTTTTTGCTGCTATTTCTAACTCTGCCCTGGGAATGTAGAAAAAAAAAAATCCTGTCCCACCATTCCCAAGGATTCCTCTACACCCTTCCCACTACCTGCTCACTGGCCTATGGGGCTGGATCCTTAGCCCTGTCAGGCATCCATGTGCCTTGCCTCTGTATTGTCTCAGACCTCAGACACTCTAAGCTGCAGGGCAGCAATAAAAGCAGGGGTGAGCAGAAGGAAGGGGTTAGGAGGAGCCTCAGGGCCTTGGATAATTCTGAGCAGTGGCCCTCATTCCGGGGTGTTGGGGACAGACCAGTCCAGCTCCAGACAGAGTATGTGCACATACAGCCACTTACTCGGGCTTTCATCCCCAAGCAGAAAAACATTTTGAATTTCCTGACTGGAAGAGCCAGAAGTAAACAACTCTGTGATCTGCACCTGGACACTGGACAGCACAGCACTTGACCTGCCTTCTGTCTCAGCAACGGCAGGCCTGGACTCAGGCACGGCAAAGAAAGCTTCCTGGACGTCACATAGCTGCTCTGGGCCCAGCCAAGCACTCCTGGGCCTGCATTTCCCAGAGTGCATTCCTCAGAATCCCAATCCCATTCCATACTCCAAGGAAAAGGGGTCCATGGGTGAAGACTGGGGGACCCCAAGGTCTTGGAGGGTGCACAACACTCATCAACACACCAAAGTCTTGGGGAGGAAGCCTTTGCTCCACCTAGCCTCTCCCCAACATGTGGAGCCCAGCACACCCTTCCACGGCTGCTATGAGCCCCAGGAGGCACTGGCCCACGCTGGCCCACACCGCTGCCTGTGTCCACATGGGATGGCCCCTGAGGACAGAAGGCAGACATTGCACTTGCTTGCCACGGATTTTCAGAGGGGTGGGAGTGGCTGCCCTTGGGCTGAGAGCCTACAGTCTCTGAGACTGGAACATGAGATTTTGCATGTTTTCCTCTTGCCCACCGGCCCCGGCTCCTGGCCTTCTGCCCTACAGGCCTCCTCAGGTCCAATTCAGCACGGCACCTGCCTGTCCACACCAGACTGGGGAGAACCCCCTGCTAAGGGAAGCAGACAGACACACACACCACCAACAACAGAAGCACAGGCACATGGGAGGCAAGGGCCTTCAGAGAGGCACCGGCCTGATGGCAGTAACATAAGGGTGTCCACCTGCCCTCAGCTGACCTGGAGATGCAGGGGGACAGATCTGTGACCAGAGCTCAGGGCTAGCCTCAGCCCAACTTCAGCGTCTCCCCACCTCAGTCTCAGCCTCAGCCAGTTCCTTTCTGTTCCTTTCATCGACACAAGCACTCTTTCTGGCTGATACTCAGCGAGGTCATTCCAGCCCTCAAGATTGCGTTTTCATCCTCCCTCCTTTGGCTCCACAGCGTAAAGACAGTCACACGCTTGAGACCCAGTGGCCACCCAGCGACTGTGCCAAGAAGTTCTCCTTGCTCTGCGCTGTGGGGTCCTGGGGCTGAGGCTCTTCTGGGGCAGCAATGCCACTGTGACAGCAGCCGGCCTCAGGGGGCTCATCTGGACTCGAGCCTGTGTCTGGCTGCCTCTTCCTCTGCCTAAAACACTCGTGGTGCAAACCAGATAAGAACAACCTGGGTCTCCCTGAAGTCCAGAAGCCTGGGAGGCAAAGGCCTCCTGGCTCCAGGGTACACTGTAGGGAGCCACCTCCTTAGGGGCGAGGGGCCACTGGGTTCCCAGGGCGGCAGTGCCGCTGGGCGTGGCACAGTGACACACAGACACAGAGCACATGCTGAGCCTTGGCCCCCTGCCTGTGGCGTGCAGGCCGGAGACGCTTACCTAGGGAGAGTCCATTGGTGACGGTGGAGGAGGTGAGGGCGAGGCCCCTGCGGGGACTGCGGGACTCTAGGACACTGTCATCCAGAAGGTGCCTGGCTTTCTCCGATGGGAATGTCGCACTTTTACTCTCAACTACACTCAACTGACACATCATACTGGAAACGGAAAGGAAGAAAGAAGGCACAGCTCCTTATCCACGGAGCAATAGCAGCGGCACCTGCCGGGATGCAGGTGTCCAGGCTGTGCCCTCTGAGGTGTGACCTTGAGCAAGTCACATCCTTTTGTGGACCCTCAGTGTCACCACACATCCACAGGGGATAATGTTGCCGGCCCTGCCTGCTCCCAGGATGAAGATGAGGCTTGTGAGGAATGAGGCTGCGGCGGTTCTGGAATGACGCGCCTGGTCCAGTCCTGGCTCCCACACCTCCTCACCATTGCAAGGGATGTTGCCTTGTGAGCCCTGTGGGACTCATTCTTACACTGTGCATATAACGCTGCTACCTCGGAGGCCCCGAGGGCGTGCGGCGCAGCAGGAGGAGGGGGAGGGGTGCTGAGGACTCAGAGTGGCTCTCCTCCTGCCTTCGAACTCCTAGGGCCCACCAGGGCTGGGTGGCGGTGACTCAGGTGGAAGGCAAGCAGGCAGAGGAAGGAGGGAGGGAGGCAGGAAGAAAGGAGGAGGGAGGGAGAGATGGACCCATCTGTTCAGGAGTCTGTGCCCAACGCCCAGGGGATGTGGGCCTGGCTGCCCCCAGTCATCAGCTGTAAGCCCCACAGGGTGGGTGAGCCAGCAGGTTCACTGCTGTGCAGACCGATGCCATGAGACACCCAACACGGCCCCGAGGACAGTCACTGGCACCCACTGGACTTTGGGTTTCTCCATAAGAGAGCCACTAACAGAGCCTGGGCACCTTTGCTGAAATCCCATGTTGCTTCCCTGCCCTTTCCTTTATCCCTCCTCCATTAGCTATGGAGCCTGGGGTCTCTGTGGATGGCAGGTGGGTGGTGCTACCAGTGCCCCTCAGCGATTCCTGAGCTCATGCCAGTCTCAGGACAGCGTGCCAGCCAGGGGCATCAAGAGCTCCCAGATCGGGTATGGGAGGAACCCAGCTGTGGGTGAGGACTCCCCAGCATTCCTTCATTCATGCCCAGGCCAGGACAGAAGCCCCAGGGAAGGGCTGCTCAGTCACCCACTTGTTGCCCAGGCTGTGACTCTTCCTGTGTCGAGGGACTGGTGGTGTGGGGAGGCTGCCGGCCACGGATGCATCAGGGCAGGTGGGTCTCCGGCGGAAGCGCGCTGAGCTGGAGCCCACAGAGGGGCCTGTGAAGAGAGCAAAGGGAAAGAGATGGAACAGAGCAGGGGTCACAGGGGTGTGCATGGGGAGAGGATCAGGGTTTGGGGTAGAACCCCCAGCCGGCTGTCATAGGTGTGAATGAGCCACACAGCTTTCTGCTCATCGGAGACCCCCTTCCACTCTTCCCATATCATCCATTCTCAAGGCTGACAGCCACTAGTGGATGACCGGGACCTGTTCTGCAAGGGGCCCCCTGGTTGCAGGCCCACCGGCCATCTGGTATCCCAATTCCTGCTGTAGGTGCCACCTGGAAAGCAGGATCTCATAGACTAATCCGCAGTGACAGAGCCAGGGAGGCATGACCCTTAAGCAAAGTTCCTCGGCCGGGACTTTATGAACCCAAAAGTGGCTGTGGAAGGCCGTGCAGTGTGGAGGACTGAAATCCACCTGTGCTTTCCTATGTGTATGTTTCCCTCATGCAGTGGGCAGTTTCTTTAAAGAGGCTCTAGATTCTTATCACAGGGAACTGTCAGCACCACTTGCAGAGTTTGGGCCACCCTGGAGGTTCTGGCTGGGGTGGCAGCTGGGGGTTCGGGCAGCTCATCCTACACAAGTTTGGCAGGTACCCCTGAGGTGTCCCTGGGAAGACCTTCTGCTCTACAGGTTGGGGCACAGGCACTGACCCAGGGAAACATCTCATGTAGTTGCTCTAGAGAGGGAAAGGAAGAATGAAAACCATCCTGCTTTGTTTTGGTTTTGCACTATTGCCGGGGAAGAATCCAGAGGGTGGAACCCGCCTTGTTTATCAGCAGCCACGTGAGAGGATCACAGTCCCATTGCCTGAGTCACTGAGTCACTGGGCTCCCACCCTGGTGCAGAAAAGTAATTTCTAAAGGTCAGATTGCACGGCTCCTCCCCCTGTGGTTTGAAGCAGAAGCCCAGGGGTTCTGGTGTTGGAGCAGGAATAATTAGGATTCAACAATGCACACTTGGCGCTTACATTTTGCCCTTGCTGTAAGGCTAGAGGCGGGCACTCTTAGCAGTCCCAGTCTGTGAGAAGCCAGCTTACACATGTACTGCATGCTGGAGGCAGGTGTGCAGCGCTCTCCAGCAGGCAGGGGAGGAACCCAGTGGTTCAGGGCTCGGACACTGGACACAACATGAGGAAAGGGGCGCAGAGAGACCATATGTGTGGGATCAGCAAGCAGAAGACACTTCCTCTGGGAAGTCTGCAATAGACAGGTTCCAACTGTTACCATGAGAAAGGGAAGAGGAGGGGACCTCACATCTACTCTGCACCAACTGTGAGCCAGGCTGGTAAAACACTCCACGCCTCAGATCACGGGCTCCTGTGCAGTTAGTACTTCATCATGGCCACTTTAGAGGGAGGCTCAGAGCCACCGGGGCTACACAGCCGGCTGGTGCTGCCACCTCCACTGGTGGCTCCACAGCCCACTCCCTCCTGCCCGACCCTCTGCTCACTCGTCTCCATATGCAGCTGTCCTGCCTGCCCCCTGGCTCTGCTTCCCACTTGGGTCCTCAAAAGCCTTCTGGGCTTGCTTTGGTCTTTTTCTTTTCCTTTTGGTACCAGGGATTGAACTTGGGTCCTTGCGCTCGCGCAGCAGGCAACGAAACCTCTGAGCTAAATCCCTGGCCATGCTTTGGTCTTTTTCTTGAGCCCTTCATTCTCCCTCCAGGACTAGGACTCTCCTTTGTGCTTTGGACCCTTGGGAAGTTTGTGTGACCTCAGATGCCCCTGGGTCAGCTGAGGGGAGAGGGTGGGGCCCCAGCAGAAGAGCCCTTGGCCCCCAGGGCCCAGTGTCAGAGCTGACGGTTCTCTCCCTGCCCGGGGTCTAGCTAGGCCCCTCTCCCCACCTTCTGCATTGTTGACCAACAGCCTAGATCTGATGCAGAAGCAAAAGAATGTCCATTCAGCTGGGACCCAGATGATGGTCATCCCTGCCAGTAAGTGACACCCTCTGCTACTGAAATGCCTCACGTTCCCGCCGGCCAAGCCTGGGGTGGCCCCCACGTGACAGTGCCAGGGACGCTTGTCTTCTGGGGCTGTGTCTGAACCGGGTGGCTGGCAAGTCTGTCATGTCCTGGGGCAGGGGCAGGGGCAGGGTAGGTGGGGGTGGTGCTAATGTGCCGGGGCCCTGGCCAGAGTGCCGTCCCCACTGCCCGCCTGATATGGCACGGACCACTGGAAAAACTGACCACGGGGCCTGACTATCTCAGAGGATTGCTCTATTTTTCCTCAGCATAATTTTTCCATGAATAATCTTTAAAGCTCTTTAAGTGGCTGTTTCTTTAGCAATTTTATTGGAACATATGAGAACTGACAGTCTCTGTGGGGAACGAGATATGGTGAAAAAAAATCTGGTTTTCATTACCTTTCTCTCAAGAAACCCACATACTGACCAAGAGATCACTCATTGACAGGACGGAAAAAAAGCACAGGGCCTTCTAATAATGGCCGCGGAGTGGTCCGGATTCAGCCTGATGAACAGGGACGGCAAAGGACTCCAGCTCTGGAGGTGGACAGGTCCAGCTTCCCTGTATCTGCACCTGCAGGCTGAGCAGCCCCAGAAAGGTCACCCAAGCTCTGAGCCTCAAGTCTGCATCTGCAGAACAGGAATGGCGATACTGTCTTGCAGCCTCCCTGTGAAAAGCCAACCACTCAGTTTCTTGTCCTCCTTCTGCCTCAAATGTTTATTGAGCCCTGCCCATGGGGCTCACACTGGTGCTTGGAGCTGCAGTGTGGGTTTGAAAGATGATGGTCTGTCTTCACAGGGTTGATAGGTGAGGGAGAGAGAGGAGCCAAGTATTTGCACCCAGGAGAGACACAAGCTTTGACAGGTGGATAATAATCAATATGACAAGAGCCCTGCTGCACCAGTGGTGTAACCCACTGGAACTGACAGTGATAGTAACTGCTAACCTTTATAAGCATCCACAAGGGGCTTTGTCCTCATGATTTTAGTTTAGTTTTTGGGTGTTTTTGGTACCAGGGATTGAACTTGGGTCCTTGTACTTGCGCTTGCGCAGCAGGTGGAGAAACCACTGAGCTAAATCCCCAGGCCTCTCATGATTTTAGTTAAGCCTCCCATAACATCACTATGCAGGAACTGTGGCTATTTCAACTTCACCATGTGGAACTTGTGGTTGAAAAGTTCAAGAACTTGCCCAGGTGAGCAGCCTCTGAGCAGGACAGCTCTGAGCACAGAGCATCTGAGAGCCTGAGGGCAGAGTCAGAAGGGACTCCTGGGACGTCTGAAATCCTGGCTGGTTTGAGAGCTCCAGCATGGGCAGTTATGGGCAGAAGGAAGAGCATGTGCAAAGGCTCAGAGGGCTCTGAGGAGCCTGGATTTGGTGAGGGGAAGGCACAGTGATGCACTCAGATGGGCACCCTGGGAAGCTCCCTGTGGCTAGACAGCAACTGGATGTGGCCAAGACTTGAGCCTATGGGCTGGATGCATGATGAGTGTCCAGGAGGCAGTGCTGGCAGGGTGGGGATGGAGGGCACTCAGAGTAACCCTCTGTGGAGTGGTGGTGTGCACTCAGGGAGCAGGTTTGAGAGGGACCTAAGGAGTCTGGCATGGGGCTGATGCTTGGAGGCCACTGGATGGATGGACGTGGCACCTGTGGCTGCTGAAATGGGTACATGGCCAGGCTGGGAGCTTCATTCCCATGGATTTCCTCTGCCTCTGAGCTTTCCCCTGGGCTAGCACTGCCCTAATTCATTCTGTTCACAGGGAATAAGTCTCGCATATCAGAAAGTAATGGGAGGCAGCTGTGGCAGAGGGGAAACTGCTCAACTTGGAATCATAAAACTTGAATTACAGTCCCGAGTCTGCCTGGGTTGAGGTAGGGGCTCAAGGCCTGTCCCCTCCTCCTGAGAGTGCATCTCCTCATTGGTGGGGGTGGGGAGGGCATGACAATTCCTGAGCCTCTGGTACAGAAGGTGGGCTTTTGCTCAATGAAAGGGCTCAGCTTCCTGTGTTTCCTGCCTGTCCATGTGGGGAGGCCTGTTCCCAGGCTTGGAGACTTGGACCCTTCTGGATCTACCAGAGTCCTGTGACTCTCAGGGACACAGAGGTGGGGGTGGGGTGGTTCTGCACAGAAAGTCTGTTCATGCTGAAACTCTTCGCAGCTAGCTTTCACGGGGAGCTGGGAGTCAGTCACTTTTCTGTTCACACACGTTCTTTGTTTCTCACATGTGCAGCTCTCACAGATTCTCTGCCAGCCAAGATCTATCTTCTATACCTCACAGAAGCTATAGTTCATTTCCTTCTGAAAAATGGCACCCAACTGTCCTTTGACTGGGGTGAGGGTGCCATGGATTCTCCTCACAGCTGAAGGTTCAGACTCCCAGGCCACAGGGAGCTGGGGAACCCAGGATCTGTGAGGAGTGAGGCTGCAACAAGGCAGCACAGGTGGACAGAAGCAGTTAGAATCTTGCCTCCTTTGTCTGGCCTTGATGTGAATGGCTTTCTGGCCCTGCAGGAGCTCATGGAGGCCTCTCACCACTCTGAAGATGGAAAGGTTTTCAGAGGGAGGACCTGTGGGGAGGGGAGGCCCTCCTTCCCCTCTGCTATGGCTGCTCTCTTCCTCATCAAGCAGAGACCAAGGGAGTTCTGGTGTCTCGCTCAGGCCTGGGGATGCCAAGATGGCCACAGCCAGAGGACAGTGGTGGCCACAAGAGTCAGCTGCACTCACAGATCCGTGGGGATGAGGGCAGATAAGGCCTCCCATGGAACTAGGTGGCCCCTGTGAGGAGATCTGGGATAGGGTTGGGGGCTCAAGGGGGTCTGAGCAGTGGGAGTGATCGACTTTGAGGGTTTGCAGAAGAGGCTGCAGAGATCCCTGGAATGCGTCTGCATCTACTGGGCTGAGTGCTTGCAGGAACTCTGAAGCACCCCTGCAAGTGCCCAGGAGAGGAAGCACAGTGGTACTGACTGCCACCTGGAAGGCACTGTGCCCAAGACAGCAGCAACCACTGGGACTGTGCCCTGCCCTGGGCTGT